AAGAAGGGAGAGAGAGAAAGAAAGAAAGAAAGAAAGAAAGAAAGAAAGAAAGAAAGAAAGAAAGAAAGAAAGAAAGAAAGAAAGAAAGAAAGAAAGAAAGAAAGTCCCAGCTAGCATGGCTCGGCAGTTGAGTGTCAACCTATGAACCTGGAGGTCAGTGTTCAATTCCTGATCAGGGCACATGGCTAGGTTGCGGGCCGGATCCCTGGTGTGGGGCATGCAGGAGGCAGCCAATCAATGACTCTCTCATCATTGATGTTTCTATCTCTCTCTCCCTCTCCATTCCTCTATGAAATCAATCCTATCTAATAATAGACAAACATGGTACCTTCGCTACGCCTCTCATTGGCTAATGAGTGTGATGTGCAAATTAACCGCCAACAAAGATGGCGGCTAATTTGCATACTGCAGGCAGGGCGGGACAGCGCAAACCGCCAGCACGCCGCCATCCAGGGCAGCCCCAGAAGACCCAGAAGCCGGCCTGCCTTGCCGTGGGGGACACGATTGCGTCCCCCGCGGCCACGCAGGCCAGGACCCAGAACACACAGCAGCCGGGTCTTTTTTTTTTTTAATTTTTTTAGATTGTGTAATTATTTATTACAAATAAATGGTGGTTTCACATCTGTCAAAAACGGGTCCTGTTTTTACATGTGTGTGCAGGTTCTGAATGTACAAGAAAGGGTCATGTGCTTAGTTTGTCCATGCAAAGCTCACACATACATCACTAAATACTTTAAAAATAGAACAATCTCTTTTTGAACCAATCTGTTTAGATTCAGGATTAGTAAAACAGTATGAAACTAATGAAATACAGTGATAGGAATTAGGAAGTGTGACACTGATGGTTCTGGGCATGTGAAGGGTGAGGGACAGAAGGGTACACACGGTCTTCCCTTCAGTTCTGCCGGAGAGATGAGCTCCGAGGGCCCGAGCTGCTCCATGCCCAGAGGAGGTGGGTGTGGTCAGTGGCTCTGTTTCAGAACTTCCTGCCAAGAAGAGACCTTACCCGACCCACAGGAACCGTTTTACTCCAGAAAACAGAAATAGCCAGTTCCCAATGTGCATGGGAAAACCAGTGTCCCCTCCTGTGCACGGTGTCCTGATGGGGTGACGGGGGAGGTGGGCGAGGGGAGCAGTGCAGAGTTGTTAGGCAGCTGGAGTGGGAGTGGAAAGGCCAAGAAATGTCCACAGTCCTGGCTGTGCCCACGGACTGGGCTGCTCCTCCAGGCCCTGGCTGAGGGATTAGGGCTGATTCTCTCGGGAAGGGAATATTCCATGGGTGGAAGATTTACAGGCTCAGGGTGGGCCGTGTGTTAGTTTGGGGCAAATCCCTCAACATTCCTGCTGCCAAGCCCTCAAAGGAATGAGGCAGAGGCACCCTTCACCCCCAAGACCCCTTTGTGGACATTTTAGCATCTACGTGATTTTTAATCCCTTCAGGGAGACTTTCTATCCTGCAGTCCCATCCCACCCCACTGTTGCTGTTTGTCTGCCAGCTGGGTCGAGCATCAAGGGAAAGGGGGGTTTATACTCACTGAAAGATCCTATTGGGAAACCAACCTGTTTACTGTACTGTTGTAAATATCATACCCTTTATATCCTGTATATTGGCTTCTTTTAAATAAAGTGAAATGTCTTAGAAAAAGAAAAAGGCAAGGCAGGGCGGGACCCAGAAGACCCAGAAGCTGCCTGATATGGTAGTAACTCTATCAGTAAGCACTCTGAAAGTCAGTGGCATAAATGCACCAATTAAAGGACAGATTATGAGGGTGAATCAAAAACAAAACCCACTTTAAATATAAAGACACATATAGATTAAAAGTAAATGAATTAAGCTGCAGCATGTTTTGCTCAGTGGATAGAGCATTAGCCTGTGGACTGAAGGGTCCCAGGTTCGATTCCAGTCAAGGGCATGTACCTCAGTTGCTGGCTTGATTCCCCAGTCCCTATCAGAGCGTGTGCAGGAGGCAACCAATCAATGTGTCTCTACCTTTCCCTTCACTCTCTCTAAAATTCAATGGAAAAATATCCTTGGGTGAAGATTAACAAAAACAAAGTAAATGGATTAAGTAACATTGAAGAGATTATAAGAAAAATATATTCCAAATTTTGTTAGTTGTATAATGGTTATGTTTAAATTATTAACACCTAAGAAATTGGGTGAAGGGTACATATAATATGTTGTAGTATTTTATAGTTTTTTTACATGTATGAGATTATTTCAAATTAAAATATTAAAAAATTAATAAATATTAATTGAAATGTATCTGCATTAGATGAAAAATCTCCTAATTGCTTCTAGCATAATTTATTAAATTGTGCTAAAATTTACAAGGGTTCAATTAAAAAATATCTTAATTCTAAATGATATAATAGAAAATATATAATAGTGCAGTGATAAGCACTTATCTGAAAACTAGAGGCCCAGTGCACAAAAATTTGTTCACTTGGGGATGGGGGGGTGTCCCTCAGCCTGACCTGTGCCCTCTCGCAGTCTGGGACCCCTTGGGGGATGACCACCTGCTGGCTTAGGCCTGCTCCCCGAGGGATCAGGCCTAAGCTGACAGTCAGACATCCCTCTGGCAGCCTGAGAGCCCTCGGGGGATATCCACTTGCCAGCGGGGAGCAGGCCTAAGCTGCAGTTGGATATCCTTAGTGCTGCTGAGGAGGCAGGAGAGGCTCCCACCACCACCGCTGTACTGGCAGCCATCAGCCTGGCTTGTGGCTGAGCAGAGCTCCCCGATGTGGGAGCGCACTGACCACCAGAGGGCAGCTCCTGCATTGAGCATCTGCCCCCTGGTGGTCAGTGTGTGTCATAGTGACCAGTCATTCCCAGTCTTTCTGCTGTTAGGGTCAGTTTGCATATTACCCTTTTACTATATAGGATAGAGGCCTGGTGCAGGGGTGGGGGCCAGCTGGTTTGCCCTGAAGGGTGTCCTGGATCAGGGTGGGGGTCCCGATGGGGTGCCTGGCCAGCCTGGGTGAGGGGCTGAGGGCCATTTTCAGGCTGCCAGCGACTGAAGCTCCCAGCCTCTTCTTTTTTTCTTTTTATTCTGGGATTTATTACCTTCTATAATTGAAACATTGTTGCTTTTGGGCTCAGAGCCGGCCACGGCAGGCAGGGAAACTTGGACTTCGTCCATCCACTGGAGCAAGCAGC